TTTCATTGTAGGAACGGCTCAAACGTGAATGGCGTCAAGCAAATAAAACAGACGTCGAAGTACAGGATCGTACATTCATGGGCAGCAAGCATCTCCTTGGAAAAGAAGGTAGAAGGATGAAGAAGATGTTGCGTGGGCAAGATAAGAGTGGTATGCTATATGAAAGTGATTCGGATGAGAAAGATCCTTACGCCAGCGAGGTAAAATGGCCATTTCCCTAATGCAGGGCGGCAGACTAACGAAGATACTAGGAGGAGTCGGATTCTGAAACAGACCTCGAAGAGAAAGAGCGACGCGAAAAAGAGAAAGCAGAGAAGGAGAAGGCTGAGAAGGCCAAGAACGAGGAAGAGGAACGACTAAAGGAGCTGTTAGAAGAAAAGGAGAAGGAGCGAGAGAATGCAGCGGATAAGGACAAGAAAGGCAAAGGCCCAGCTGGCAACAAGAACGATAGTACCGGGCCAAACAAGAATGCCACAGGTCCAGGACAAAAAGCTAGCGGAAAATCGGGAGTGGATCAGTCGAGGGGTGGCTCACCCAAACCTGGCGCAGGTGGTAAAGGTTCTAGAGCTGGATCACCAGCTATCCGATCAGGATCTGTCGGCCCCTCGGCACAACTTGCTCACTCCGGCACATCTAGTGCCACTAGTGGCCTCCCTGTGGGTGCTGGAAATGCTCTAACAGCAATGAGGGCTACCAGCCCTGGGAGTCCCAAACCTCGACCACCAATGGGTAGTGGGAAGGGTGCTTCTGGTACTCGTACGTCAATTCTGCAATCACATTCGGGCCCTGTCTCACACATTATTAGCTCGTATGACAAGTCCTGCGCCAAGTGGAACTGCTACTCCTGTAGCTGGTGCAGTGAAAAGGAAAGCTGAAGCACAACCAAGCAATGGGCAGCATCCCAAGAAACAGAAAACAGCTAGTCCTACACCTACCGCGCCCACTACACCTACTGTCTCCACACCAGCATCTATCTCCCAACCGCCAATGAAGAAAAAGAAGATCGAGCTATTCCCTGGATGTTTGACACAGGAGATGGTCGTGAATTATCTCAAGGAACGTGAGGCTAAAGGTTTGAAGACTCAAACAAAGGACGCGATCGAGAAATTCAAACCAATGTGGGCTGGTGCGACCGCGAATGGCGGGAAGGAGGGTGTAGATATAAGAAACAAAGACCTATTGACACACTGGATCAAGAAGGTCGCCAACTTGAGGGATGGTACTTGGCTGACTCTGCGATAAGCATTGTATTGCACATAGGAGACTGTATGTCTAGTAGCTTATCTTTGGTATGAAGTTCAGCTCTCTGTCCAACTTAATTCCTGCTGGTTTCTCGCTGAGATAGTGTGCTGAGGTCACGTAGTCGATGCGTTCGGTTCATTGGCCCTGTGCACCTATCAGCCTGAGACTTATTTCCTTGGATCAAACTGAGTGAATAGTTTTTAAGGTTTGTTTTGGTATTTATCATTTTTTACGGTTTGATGTGTACTCCCAAGTTTTCTACTTTGACTCATCATGTAAGTAATACAACCGTACGTCGATGAACCGATGGGTAGTTAGGACCAATGGAATATGGCCAATTTCGATCAACGGAGCCTCAAAACGTTTCTTGCATGGAAGGTGGAGGGATCACACCCTACTGGTGGCGGTCCACTATAATAAACTCGTTACTCTCAAACGCATTCCATCAATGAGAAAGAGGCTGACCTATGGATGTCCAGGTATACACCGTCCTTACACGTATAGAACAACGTGCCTTTCAAATCCTTATGCCGTGGCCCAAACGCGTACAATAGGATTGGCCCATGCCAGCTCCACTTTCCATAAGCGTATTTACCTTCTCCTACACCAGTATTTGCTATAGCTTTCTTGGGGTCCACCAGCTGTAATTTGTATCGGGTCGTCGGGCCAGAAATAATATCATGAGTGATCGCATGAGCTGATGGAGGGTTTCCTGAGGACGGTTGATAGTGATCCGTGTTATGGTCCGTAAAGTTTAGAGCCACTACTTGGAGGATATGGGTCTCGTTCGTCATCGAATAAAGATCTCCTCCACGGATAAAGAAATTCGGAGCAAAGGAATCGTGATTATTCGAGTAGGTGGGCCAATACAAATTGCGTTCTACACGGCAATCTCCTTCTAGACCTATAATTATACAGTCATCAATACATGTGTGCACTCAGGATTGAGATATATGGGAGTCCTACCTTGATCGGCAGAAGATTTCAAGTAGTATTGTCCACCAGACGAATGCGGGTTGACTACAGTGATGAGATCGGGAGGGTATTCGTCAGGCATCCATGTCGGCACGGCGAAACCGACTAGACTGAAGGAAAGGAGGGTGATGAAAAGAGAGAGGATTGATCGTTCCATCAAATATTAATGCTGAAGCAGAAATCCGAGGTTCGAGTCGGGCGATTGATGTTTCTGCTCGCGGAATGCAGAATCCAACGAAAGCAAAGTGGCCCACAACCTAGCTATTATATAGCCAACTTGTCGTGTTTACCGACAAAAAGTCCGAATACGGAGAAATACGTGGCACGTAGTTGGTTGCGGCAGCGCCGGAATACTATGGGAGAATCTCGCTATGTACGATTGGCTTGGAGGAGCTCTTCTCGGTCACTTGTTGTTGAGCAAGTGACCATCCAAGATTGTTATTACATCACCTTCATGGCCAGAAAATCTCGATTCGGATTTCAAGGAAGCCGTTAGACTGCAATGGATCAGAACACGCGCTAAGCCGAACACTCCACGGAAAAGTAGTCAAATCGATAAGAGGCCAGTCAATAACCAAGTAGGTCTGTGTCGAATGTGTCGTTGAATGAGGAGGTGTCCTCTTGAAGAGAAACACATCGGTAATGAGTGGTCAACCTGGGCTGGTTGTCTCCATCCACAACCCTAGATTCATTTGACATCCCCCAATCGTCACGATTCTCGTTTCTTCTTTCAAAACTTACGTCTCTCAATCCATAGTAAAATTCTTCTCCTCCTCCAAATTTGTATACCCAACTCACCGGCGGAATGTCAAGTAATTCGAACAGCTAGGCCGTTTCAACATGTAGCATAAGGAAGGAATTTTCCCTAATATGACAGGATACAGTGTTGGTCAATACGTTTGAGCGTCAATTGCAATCATCTACCACACATCTTCAAGACCTACTCTCTGTCCATGACTAAACTATGAGCACGCATACGTTGTGCACATGAGTATGACGCTATCTCATGACTACTTCGACATCTTCTCATGACGAGAGTGAAATGACCCTCACATCAAGAGAATGACAAAACCCTAATTTCGACAAGTTTCGACTTGGGCAAACCCTTAACCATTGACCCCCGCCTCTTCTTCATTTCCCCAGCCTTGAACCTTCTTGGTCTGGACAATGAAACTACAGCAGAATCGCCGCAGGTCTTTGAAGTCCGCAGAAATGCTCGATAATATCCCTTTTTCTCCACTTTTTGTCGCTCGAAAGAGCAGATTTTCGACGGTTCGTACTCATCACGTATATTTGTCATATTAGGGAAAATTCCTTCCTTATGCTACATGTTGAAACGGCCTAGCTGTTCGAATTACTTGACATTCCGCCGGTGAGTTGGGTATACAAATTTGGAGGAGGAGAAGAATTTTACTATGGATTGAGAGACGTAAGTTTTGAAAGAAGAAACGAGAATCGTGACGATTGGGGGATGTCAAATGAATCTAGGGTTGTGGATGGAGACAACCAGCCCAGGTTGACCACTCATTACCGATGTGTTTCTCTTCAAGAGGACACCTCCTCATTCAACGACACATTCGACACAGACCTACTTGGTTATTGACTGGCCTCTTATCGATTTGACTACTTTTCCGTGGAGTGTTCGGCTTAGCGCGTGTTCTGATCCATTGCAGTCTAACGGCTTCCTTGAAATCCGAATCGAGATTTTCTGGCCATGAAGGTGATGTAATAACAATCTTGGATGGTCACTTGCTCAACAACAAGTGACCGAGAAGAGCTCCTCCAAGCCAATCGTACATAGCGAGATTCTCCCATAGTATTCCGGCGCTGCCGCAACCAACTACGTGCCACGTATTTCTCCGTATTCGGACTTTTTGTCGGTAAACACGACAAGTTGGCTATATAATAGCTAGGTTGTGGGCCACTTTGCTTTCGTTGGATTCTGCATTCCGCGAGCAGAAACATCAATCGCCCGACTCGAACCTCGGATTTCTGCTTCAGCATTAATATTTGATGGAACGATCAATCCTCTCTCTTTTCATCACCCTCCTTTCCTTCAGTCTAGTCGGTTTCGCCGTGCCGACATGGATGCCTGACGAATACCCTCCCGATCTCATCACTGTAGTCAACCCGCATTCGTCTGGTGGACAATACTACTTGAAATCTTCTGCCGATCAAGGTAGGACTCCCATATATCTCAATCCTGAGTGCACACATGTATTGATGACTGTATAATTATAGGTCTAGAAGGAGATTGCCGTGTAGAACGCAATTTGTATTGGCCCACCTACTCGAATAATCACGATTCCTTTGCTCCGAATTTCTTTATCCGTGGAGGAGATCTTTATTCGATGACGAACGAGACCCATATCCTCCAAGTAGTGGCTCTAAACTTTACGGACCATAACACGGATCACTATCAACCGTCCTCAGGAAACCCTCCATCAGCTCATGCGATCACTCATGATATTATTTCTGGCCCGACGACCCGATACAAATTACAGCTGGTGGACCCCAAGAAAGCTATAGCAAATACTGGTGTAGGAGAAGGTAAATACGCTTATGGAAAGTGGAGCTGGCATGGGCCAATCCTATTGTACGCGTTTGGGCCACGGCATAAGGATTTGAAAGGCACGTTGTTCTATACGTGTAAGGACGGTGTATACCTGGACATCCATAGGTCAGCCTCTTTCTCATTGATGGAATGCGTTTGAGAGTAACGAGTTTATTATAGTGGACCGCCACCAGTAGGGTGTGATCCCTCCACCTTCCATGCAAGAAACGTTTTGAGGCTCCGTTGATCGAAATTGGCCATATTCCATTGGTCCTAACTACCCATCGGTTCATCGACGTACGGTTGTATTACTTACATGATGAGTCAAAGTAGAAAACTTGGGAGTACACATCAAACCGTAAAAAATGATAAATACCAAAACAAACCTTAAAAACTATTCACTCAGTTTGATCCAAGGAAATAAGTCTCAGGCTGATAGGTGCACAGGGCCAATGAACCGAACGCATCGACTACGTGACCTCAGCACACTATCTCAGCGAGAAACCAGCAGGAATTAAGTTGGACAGAGAGCTGAACTTCATACCAAAGATAAGCTACTAGACATACAGTCTCCTATGTGCAATACAATGCTTATCGCAGAGTCAGCCAAGTACCATCCCTCAAGTTGGCGACCTTCTTGATCCAGTGTGTCAATAGGTCTTTGTTTCTTATATCTACACCCTCCTTCCCGCCATTCGCGGTCGCACCAGCCCACATTGGTTTGAATTTCTCGATCGCGTCCTTTGTTTGAGTCTTCAAACCTTTAGCCTCACGTTCCTTGAGATAATTCACGACCATCTCCTGTGTCAAACATCCAGGGAATAGCTCGATCTTCTTTTTCTTCATTGGCGGTTGGGAGATAGATGCTGGTGTGGAGACAGTAGGTGTAGTGGGCGCGGTAGGTGTAGGACTAGCTGTTTTCTGTTTCTTGGGATGCTGCCCATTGCTTGGTTGTGCTTCAGCTTTCCTTTTCACTGCACCAGCTACAGGAGTAGCAGTTCCACTTGGCGCAGGACTTGTCATACGAGCTAATAATGTGTGAGACAGGGCCCGAATGTGATTGCAGAATTGACGTACGAGTACCAGAAGCACCCTTCCCACTACCCATTGGTGGTCGAGGTTTGGGACTCCCAGGGCTGGTAGCCCTCATTGCTGTTAGAGCATTTCCAGCACCCACAGGGAGGCCACTAGTGGCACTAGATGTGCCGGAGTGAGCAAGTTGTGCCGAGGGGCCGACAGATCCTGATCGGATAGCTGGTGATCCAGCTCTAGAACCTTTACCACCTGCGCCAGGTTTGGGTGAGCCACCCCTCGACTGATCCACTCCCGATTTTCCGCTAGCTTTTTGTCCTGGACCTGTGGCATTCTTGTTTGGCCCGGTACTATCGTTCTTGTTGCCAGCTGGGCCTTTGCCTTTCTTGTCCTTATCCGCTGCATTCTCTCGCTCCTTCTCCTTTTCTTCTAACAGCTCCTTTAGTCGTTCCTCTTCCTCGTTCTTGGCCTTCTCAGCCTTCTCCTTCTCTGCTTTCTCTTTTTCGCGTCGCTCTTTCTCTTCGAGGTCTGTTTCAGAATCCGACTCCTCCTAGTATCTTCGTTAGTCTGCCGCCCTGCATTAGGGAAATGGCCATTTTACCTCGCTGGCGTAAGGATCTTTCTCATCCGAATCACTTTCATATAGCATACCACTCTTATCTTGCCCACGCAACATCTTCTTCATCCTTCTACCTTCTTTTCCAAGGAGATGCTTGCTGCCCATGAATGTACGATCCTGTACTTCGACGTCTGTTTTATTTGCTTGACGCCATTCACGTTTGAGCCGTTCCTACAATGAAA